TTTTTTTTCTGTAACATTGGTTAATTTTGCAAAATTATATGAAACTCCGAAAGCACTTGGAACTCTTCAAACAGTACAAAAGATGAAATTTTACTGTTTTTTAAGTGCAAGTTGTAGCTGAGAAAACACTGGAGAAGTATTTTATCTACCATGGAGCCAAAATTGACTTTAAATATGCTTTAGCCTTCTGTATCTAAAAATAAGACTTAGTGCTAGTGGCACCTACTATGCTTCAAGTACTTTTAATGTTCATCATCTCACTGGATTATCACAATAACATGGCAGAGTAGCTGGTATCTGCCCTAATTTTCAGATGAAGAAACTCAGGTCGAGAACATTCATCAACTGCTCAAAGTCACCCAGTTAAATGAAGAGTCATGAACCCAAGGCATTCACTTGGTTTGCCCTGCCATGCTGTCTTCTTTATTTGGGGAAAAATTAAGGTGAAAACAAGAGAAAATCTTCTGGTCTTTGACCCTTGCCTTGTTTCTGGTTTTCTGCAACTAACTGTATTTTCCTCACTGAGTCTTATGTCCTAGGAGAAAATGCTTAACAAAAAGCATAAGAGGTGTGCAGGATTATGAAAAGTTTATTAGCTAGATATTCTTGGATATTTTTAGTGAAACAGAGAATTAACAGCTCATTGGTTTCTTTTTCCAGATATTGTGGATGCTTTATCAGATCCAAAGAAATTTCTTTCAATTACAGAAAAAAGAGCAGACCAAATGAGAGCTATGGGCATTGAAACTGTAAGTAGAAATGATTGATGAAAGACATCCGAGTTGGGGAAGTTTGGTTGTCAAACAGTGATTACAAAACCAAGGAAAAGTAATAAATTAATATATAAGTTTAAAGAGAGTTTTTAAAGTTGAATTTATCAGTTCAACCAAAGTGTCAAGGGTCTTCAAGAGTGTAGCATATTTAATAAAATGTGACCACCGTCAGAAAACCCCACTTCATCACCAGGGGCTTAACTCATATCTGGGAACCTCTGCCCCATTGGAAATGAAATGGAAAACATCCAGGAT